TAGAGTAGCCAATTCGAGTGGACGACTGTCCAAGACATTCTGATGTAAAAAAGAAGTTAGCATGCAGTTAACATTCCATTCATGAAGATCACAGAAGTAGAAACTCGTAAAATTCTGAGACTTGGATGTCTTGTTACTCACCTCCATTATGTTCATCAAATCGGGCGTTTCCTCACTCTTTCTTTTTTGGGTAGAAAGGGTGTGTTCCACTCTTCAGCTCTTCATGGTGATCTCTTTCCGCTGCTTTGGTACCAGAAAACCGCTAAACCATATCCAACTCGTTCAATATAGGTATTTTGACAACTAAAAACAATTAATAGAACCGAAAACAACAAACGAAAAGACTAACCTTGTTACTACGTAATCAAAGCTCCCAACGTCCACGGAGAGAGAGACAAAAGAGAGAAACGGTGAAGAGAATGGAGAAAGAGGGAGAAGAAATAGGCGAAAGACTAAAATTTAAAGGCAAAGTCGAAGTTGCTGAATGACGGATGGGTGCTCTGCTGGTCTCATTTACTAAATATGAACGGGTAATGATTTTGGTGAAGGTGTTTGACTTTCTACTCTTCCACCCTAATAATAAAATTTGTCTCTTTGCATATAATGGCTTACTTAAAATGGATATTAGAAGAGAAGAAGAAGAGTGAGATAAGCATTATACTAAACAAAGAAAGAAGAAGTTAGAGATCGGAAGTACAGAAAAAAAGAAAAGGAAAAAGAATGGCTTTCTCATCTAAGAGCATGATTATAAGGTAAGCTCTATCGATTGAAAAGAAAGAAAAAAAGAAGACAAACTCCATTAAGAAAACAACTTTGGAGTTTGGACATTTTGTACTGCTAATTCAATAAATACTCGAAAAAGAAGGAAGGAAAATTAAGAGAAAAATTAACCTTTCACACATTCCCCTCTTGCGTTCATGTTATAAAACAGGCATGATCACAACTTAAACATGAAAAATTAACCTTTCACACATTCCCCTCCTTCGCTTACCATCATTGTCCCTTCCAAAAAGAGAACCAATCCCTTCTTCCAACGAAACTCTTCTCTCTTTTCCCTCGACTACTTGGACCTCCAGAGGCTCTACTAGGTGCTTCATGACATTCAACAATCCCTTCATATGTGCAATTTCCAATTTTAACATATGTTTTTCAACAAGCTACTTTTCCATGTGAATTATTATGCAGTAGAATCCTCCCTCTTGCCTCTTCTTTATCCTTTTCATTTATCTAAAAAAGCAAGAAAACCTTCGTAAAATTCAGGTGTCAACATATTAAAGTTATTGGATAATAAATAGTAATAGGATGATGTGCATGCTAGGAATTTAGTTTGATTTTGATTTTATTTGTGAAGTTGGTAAAAGATGTTGGCTGCTAAAGAATTCTACTTTTTAGATTAATGTTAAATTTTTAGAGTCAACTTTTTAATCACTTCTTTGTTTGTGAATTTCAAAAGCATATTTATACACTTAACTTTTAACTTCATTGTTGAAAATCAATTCCATCTCCATAAATCATTCAAAAAAAATGTAATTGTTACTATACTATGTCAGTTGATGAAATTACTTATTTTCTTGGGTTCTAATAAGGGCGAAAACAAAACCAGGCCCACATCCAGGCAACAGACCCGCAAGATGCCTCCCCTAAGATAAGCTAAGGCAAGCCCAAACTCTAGTGATATAAGAAGGGAGCGAATTGAGGGATGAATTCCGAGTATTCGACTTCTAAGACTTCTACTGATTTCATTGGCTTTTTTTCTCTGTGAAGTGAAGGCATTATATGTGATGGATACCATGCGATGTAACTGATTAATCAAAAGGGAGAGAACGAGGATGCATCGGGTAGGAAATAGTGATGTGTCAGTCACACCGCATCGTCACTACCCCATGATGTATCTATTTCACAAAACCTTTTTCGAAATGAAGGGTTCGAATCTCACTAAGGAAGCATTTGCGTTGTTTTCGGGAATCCGTTTTCCGTTTTCAAATGTTTGGTTCGTCAAAAATAATTAATCAGCCAAAAACACTTTTCGCTCAAGGAAAACATTCATGTATAAAATTAGGAAAGTGAATTCCTTAATCTAAGAAGGTGAAAACACTTTCCAAAATTGCTTCATTTGACTTTTTTAATATTTTATTCTTTTCTGTCTTTTCTTTTTTTTTTTTGATTTTTAAAAATAAAAATATTAAAAATTCGAAATTATTTTTTTGCTTGAGATAAAATCATGGGATTGAAATCATTTTTCAAATGAGATCCAAACACCATAAAACATTTACGATCACATATCACCAAACAAAGGAAAACTAACTATTTTCTTGAAAAATGATTTTTTGAAAAATATTTTCCAAAAGTGTTATGCTTTTCCGTGAAACAAACGCACTCGAGAAGGAATCTATTCTTTTTCTCTTTTGTGCAAGCGATTATTTTTTAAAATAAATGTTTTTCGTATGGTTACTTTTTCTCGAAACGAACGCACTTGAAATACCCATCTATTCTTCCATTCGAAACATCTCCGGTTATAAGCTTTAAGCTTTGTGAAAGCAAACAGTATCACCTTACTGCGCTTTTAAGTACCCAAAAGGCATGGGTCAACATTCAGCAAGTACGAGCTGCAAGAGAACGGTTGCGATTTTCTCAGTCTAGTGGTGGGGAAAATGAAATATCCCCAAAAGAAAACCCATCAACTCCACAATGCCAGTGTTAATTACACAGCATCAACCGATACAGTTCCATTATGATGGTTGCAATTTTCTCAGTCTAGTGGTGGGAAAATTACCAAAAAAGTCTTAAACCGATTACAATTGCTCGGACTTTCATATGTTTGGTTCGTAAAAACTGATTAATCGCCAAAAGGATTTTCCGATCAAAAAACATTTATGTATAAAATTAGGAAAATGAATTTCTTAATCTAAGAAGGTGAAAACACTTTCTGGAATTGCTTCACTTGACTTTTTATTTTAATATTTTATTCTTTTCTTTTTTTTTTTTTTAAAAATATTAAAAATTCGAAATTATTTTTTTGCTTTAGATAAAATCATTGGATTGAAATCATTTTCCAAATGAGATCCAAACACCAAAAAACATTTTCGATCACATATCACCAAACAAAGGAAAACTAACTATTTTCTGGCGATTTTCCGGAAAACATTTTCCAAAACGTTACATTTTCCATGAAACAAACGTGACCCTAAAAGGAATCTATTCTTTTTCTCTTTTTGTGCATGCGATTATTTTTTAAATAAATGTTTTTCCTATGGTTACTTTTTCTCGAAACGAACGCACTTGAAATACCCATCTATTCGTCCATTAGAAACATCTCCAGTTATAAGCTTTAAGCTTTGTGAAAGAAAACGGTATCATCTTACTACGCTTTCAAGTACCCAAAAGGCATGGGTCAACATTCAGCAAGTACGAGCTGCAAGAGAAGGGTTTCCCTAATATGGAAAAATGAAATATCCCCAAAAGAAAACCCATCAACTCCACAATGCCAGTGTTAATTACATAGCATCAACCGATACAGTTCCATTATGATGGTTGCGATCTTCTCAGTCTAGTGATGGAAAAGTTATGAATAACCAAAAAAGGTTTATGACTAAATTAGCACTAATGCAAAAGGTTTAGGACTTTTTTAGCACTTTTCCCGCCAATTCAGTCCTAAACCTCTTTTTTTTTTGCCGATTCAGTTCTAAACCTTTTGCAATTGTGCCAATTCAGTCCATCCGGCGTTGACATGGACGCTGGCCGGCTAACATGGCAATATTTTAATTTTTTTTTTCGAATTTTATTTCCTTTCTCTTTTTTTTGTTCTTTTCCTTCTTTCTCCTGGCTAGTCCGACTAGGGGGAGGCTCGCCGGCGAGGTGACCTCGCCGGCCACTGGGGAGGCTCGCCCTCGCCGGCACTAGGGAGGGCGAGCTTCGCCCAGCTCTGATGAGGGCGGAGCTCGCCATGGCTGGGCGAGCTCTACCCTCGCCGCCATTGGGCGAGCTCGACCTCGCCCAGATCTGGCGAGGTCGAGCTTCGCCATGGCTGTGGGTGAGGTCAAGCTTGCCCAGCCATGGCGAGCTCCGCCCTCACCTCGCCTAATGACGGCGAGGTCTCGTTGGCCCTAGCCCCTGGCCGGTCCGGGGGAAGAAGGAAAGGCCGAAAAAAAAAACATAGAAAGGAAAAAAAAAATTTCAAGCTCCGCCCTCACCTGTGTCGGCGAGGGCGAGCCTCGCCGTCGCATAGCCATGGCGAGGCTTGACCTCGCCAGATCTGGGCGAGGTCGAGCTCGCCCAGCGGCGGCGAGGGCAAAGCTCGCCATGGCTAGGCAAGCTCGACCTTGCCCAGCCATGGCGAGCTCCACCTCGGCCCTCACCAATGCCGGCGAGGTCGAGGCCTCGCCGTCACACAGCCATGGCGAGGTTAGACCTTGCCATATCCGGGTGAGGTCGAGCTTGCCTAGCCATGGCAAGCTCCGCCCTTGCTTGAGCTGGGCGAGGCTCGCCCTCGCCGGCGAGCCTCCCCCCGGCCAATCCGGCTAGGGGAAAGAAGGAAAAGAAAAAAAAAGAGAAAGGAAAAATAATTCGAAAAAATAAAAAATAAAATATTAAAATATTATCATGTCAGCCGGTCGGCACCGGACAGCGTCCACATCAGCGCCGGCCAGCCAAAAGTGGCCGGATAGACTGAATTGACACAATTATAAAAGGTTTAGAACTGATTGCAAAAAAAAAAAATTTAAAATTGAATTGACACAATTGCAATAGGTGTAGGACTTTTTTTGTAATTTTCCCGTCTAGTGATATTCAATACAAGATGAAATTGGCTACTTCTCTCATTCTTCATAGGGGATTATTGCTCCCCTCATCTCATGATTCAACATCAATCCAGTATATATCATTCCTATCAGGACAAGGTATCGTTACCTTCGCATGAACAAAATCACAACAAAATCACGCATGTCATTGGTGCTACACATCCAGACGGTGCGAAAAAAGAAAAACGTTTTGACACAGGCTAAGATCAGCAAGTAAAATGTTATTTGCGAGAGCACATTCCGGCTCATTATACTCAAACACAAGGAGAAAACAGTGCCAAACACAAAATTGCTAGCTCTAAGTTACATAATTATTACAGGAACTCAAAAAAGGAAGAAGAAAAACACCTACATTGGCACAGATACCAACACGAAACATCAAATTTGCCCTCCAAAGGAAATTTTTCTAACAAAAAAAAAACCATAGCATCAACGGTTAATTGGAGTATGCATTCAATCAACAATCCTATTCACCGCATCACGGGACATCACCAATGTGTTGTGTAGCAGGATGCTGTATACATTAAGGCCCTGCAAACACATATCATCATATTACAGTTATTGAACCGAATGACCCCCTTTAGAGAACGTAACAATGTGCCCAACAAAGCGTTACTACCAAGTGCTATAACTGATATCGTAGAATAAAGTGATCTTGCCAGATTTTCAGGCCATAAGCGATCAAACAACTTCCGAAATAGGAAACTACTTTACATGCCTAGAGATGTGGAATGGTGAACAAGGCGGTCTAGACATGAAAGTAGAATTATTTGTTCCATATACAACCTGATGGTTTTCCTAATCATCACTAGAAGTTATCATAAGAGAAAATATACAGAGACACTCCTTCCTGCAATATTGTCACTATTTCCATATCTCGTAAGACCAAAAGTACCAACAATTGATCGTATATTAGTCCATATCCTGCGACGATATGATATGAACCTATGATCACCAGACAAGCTTGGAGCATGTCCTTCAGAAAAAAGATTTTATCAACTGCATCAATAAAGTCGAAAGAGGATATGCCTAAAATACCAACAGACACGTATATATAAATTTTGGGCAAGACAACCTGAATGACAATGTTCTTTCCCCAAGGAGCATCCCAAAGAAAAAATGAGTTGGATAGAATATGGGAACTGATCTGAATGGGAACATTGACCTGCTCCCTCCAGAAATGGAGTGAGCAATGCCCACTAAGTAGCACTGCCACAACTTGGCTTCCATCTCCTTCCAATGGAAAAGCCCTCCATTTTCACTCCCTTCAATTTCCGTTACTCTCAACAATAGGAGAGAATATAGTCCCTCATATTCATTCCTCCACCTCCATTCTCGTTAAAATTCATGCATTCTCAGACCCAAACACAGTGTAAGAAAACATTCTAGTATGCAATATCAAGCCTACCTAAATCAATTTCAACAATGCAAAATCTAAAACCAGAAGGTAAACTTACTATAGAGGGTAACACGTTGACGTAGTGTTGATTCTGCGCAGCCAATTTCAGCTTCTCATTGATGGGACCACCATCCACAACCAGAATTTTCTTAGTGTTCTCCATTTGCTCGACATAGTTTACGATGTTCTTTGTCTTGTGTGTTGGGATCTCCACATCGTCAAATACCAGAAGCTGTGCAATTTTCAATAGCCAGGAAATACTATATCAAATATACAGCATAGATAGAGAAAAGAAAAGGAAGATTTCAATATAGAATGGGATCATTTTGAGGCATAGTGGTAATGAAGAGCAGTAAAGAGTTCAACATAACAAGTACCAAAGCAAAAGGTTGCTGAATAGCAAGATGGTAACAAAAATAATCGAATGATTGGGTCTATTTTGAATGTCTTTTACATTTTCTTTTTCTTTAGTGTATGAAGTTTAATTTTACTTAATGTCGAATAACTGAAAGCCCAAAACCTTTCAAAAGACATATTGATATGTACGCCGTTTAGAATTTTTTCCTACTTTGCTAATATAAATTTTTTATTTTTATTTTCAATATCTTGAAGGGAAAGCAAAAGGTTCATATCCAATAAAAACAGACCCTAAATCTCAAGATACTGCTCCTCACAAAAAGGAGAAGGTCATAAGCACAAGGATAATGAAGTAGGCAAGGCACGGACTCTAGGACATTACAAGTAAGACAAACTTGATTACAGAATTATCATCACTGCTTAGATGCCTTGAGTCGAACCCCACAGGTTTACCATATGAAACGATCGACAAGTAAAAAATTGAAGAGCAGTGAGACAGATTCACCTTTCCTTCCCCCGCCCGTGCAGAGAGAGCTATCTTCAGCCCCAGGCGCCTAACCTTTTTATTGATCTTAATGGCATGGCTTCGTGGCTTTGGGCCATGCATTGTAGCACCACCTCTAAACTGTCATCCAAAATTTGCTAGTCATATTTTACATACACCATCTCAGTAAATCAGACCTCTATAACAATTAGGCAAAACATAACCAAACCTGGGGCCCACGCTGAGAACCATGCCTTGCTCGACCAGTGCCCTTCTGTCGCCATGGTTTTTTGCCTGTTCCACTGACCTCACTAATTGTTTTAGTTGAATGCGTACCCTGTAGATCAACCAGTCAACATAATAAAAAATCCCCACAGAAGCTTCTCAGAGCAGTAAACGCATTCAGCATTCTAAAACTCTGAGAAAATAAAATAACTTATTCAATGGGAAGATAGTAGTATATCAATGGTTTCTCATTCTTCTACAATATTTTAGATGCTTCTCAGAGCAGTAAATAAAATTCGAAGTGTTATTCAGTAGATCAAGCTATGCCATGAATTAATTTACAGAAAATACAGACACCAGATTTCAGAGTGCGTAAGATTGTTGTACAAAACCTGTTGTCGTTTTGCAAGCTGCCATCTCACAACACGATGAATAATATCTTTTCTTATAGGTACATCAAAAACATCTCCAGCAAGACTTTGCAAGCTGCCATCTCACAACCCCAACGATGAATAATATCTTTTCTTATAGGTACATCAAAACACCATATACTCAGCTAAGACCAACATCTAAAACAAAGCCCGGTTATCTTCACTTCACTTAAACCCAAGCCCCCCCCCCCCCCCCCCCCCTCCCCTTTCCCTTTTCTCCTCCCCCCCCCGCGCCCCCCCCCACAGCTTAAGCTCGCAACTACAAACTCCAAAAAAAGAACTTACGGGGGTTTGTGGGGGGGGGGGGGGAGGGGGGGGTTTAGGGGTTTTTTAAAATTTTTTAAATTTCAAATACAAAAACAAAACCCCCCGAGGCCCCTTCGAAGAAACCAAAAAAAACAAAAAAAAAAAAAAAAAAAAAAAAAAAAAAAACAAAAAAAAAACCCCCCCCCAAAAAAAACCACACCTTTTAATTTTTTTTTTTTTTTTTTTTTTTTTTTTTTTTTTTTTTTTTTTTTTTTTTTTTTTTTTTTTTTTTTTTTTTTTTTTTTTTTTTTTTTTTTTTTTTTAAATATTATTTTTTTTTTTTTTTTTTTTTTTTTTTTTTTTTTTTTAATTTTTTTTTTTTTTTTTTTTTTTTTTTTTTTTTTTTTTTTTTGAAAAAAATATGGGGGTTTTTATCAAGCCCTTATCTTCACCAAGAAAGTTCGTCACTGGAATTACAAGGTCCTGGTAAAGTCCTGAAAGAACGTCTTATGAGTATAATACTACGGCGAATAAGCAGAATGCTGATATCTCCCATTGAAAAGCAAATATAACGGATAAGCCACTATAGAATATCCTGCATTCACTTAACAATCATGAAAATCATTTTAATACATGAAATATTCAAGGAAATATATTCTTGAGAACTCTTATAACATTATTAGTTCTGCAAGACATTTCAAACCACTGGACCAATTCATGCTTTGCCTTGTTTCCTAAGCAATTCGTGGCTTATTTTTCTACATTTCAAGTTGCATTTCCAAGGGCTATCGACACATGTAAAAGATAGTCATTATAATTCTCTGTATCTTTTACAAGAAAGACACTGTAAAGCACATTTCATCCATACCTATCTCGCGATCAGGCACGATTACTTCCTTCTTGGACAATAAGTCAGAAGGGAAGTCAGCTTCACCATTAGGAGTCAGTATTGAGGTTGATAGCCTTCGACGACCAAAGAAAAAAGCACCGTCCTACACACAGTTACATAAAACACACCCCGATGTCAAGAGTCAAAGCTAAGGATGGCCTTATCTCATGTTCATCAATCAACTGCTATACTCTAGACAGTAGAAAGTAAGACAACCCAAGTCTGCTTCTTCAATAGGAAGAAACCACTAAGGTTATAGAGCAAAGCCGAGAGCACATTCAAAGACAAATAATAAAGAAATTGAAACATCCAAAATTATGATTTCACTCGCAATACACCATCGAAAGCATTTGATCTAGTAAAATCCGCGGAGCAAAGAGCCATTCGCGGCCGAAACCGAGCCGACATGCCTCCACTGGCCCAACGGCTCGAGCGACCGCAACACCCTCCTGGAAATCGACAATGCCGCCATGTCCCTAACTTCGTCGGGAACCGTCACCTCCTCCTCATCTGCCGCCAAGCAGAACAAAGCAACAGCCGCCATAAGAACGAAACTTCCACCGCTTTCCCTGAATCATTTCCAGCATCGCACACGCTCGAATCGGCGAATACATCCGGATGCATTCACCGGGAAACGGGAAAGCCGGCGGGTCGATTCAGCTGAAACCCAACAGAGTTCAGGCTTAAGCGAGCAAGCGAGCGAGAGAGAGAGATTACCGGAAGCTCCGTGCGGCGGCGGGAGGCGGTGATGGACTAACGGCTGAGCTGCAGGAGAGAGAGAAACCCCAGCCAAGTTTTCAAAAACCCTGCTTTGCTCAGATTGGACTATTCAGTATTCACCTCTAAAAGCCCATCAAAGAAAGGATTATGGGGCGGGCCGGAGTTGGTGTTGGGCGTTAAAGTCTTGCTCATATTTACTTATTTTTCGTATTCTTGTATTTTCTCTCACTCGTGCAACTATCTGATTTAGGTCATCGAACTGAATGATGAATTTAAAAAAGAAAAGGAGATATCTATTCAATTTCTTTTCGAAAAAGAAAGGAATAAAGAGAAGAAAAGTTTCCAATTTAACGAATGCGCACGTGAAGATATTGATGAACACACGAAGAGTTAATGGTATTTCACAGCTAATCAATTGAGCAGCGGCTTGTAGACTCCCTGGAAAGGAATCCTGACATAAGAAGTCCAATGGGAGCAATACTGAAAATGGCAATTCTTAAAAAAAACACCGATATTGAGATCGGATAAAACAATATGATAACTAAAAGGAATTACTGAATAACTTGGTGAAACTGATATAACGCTGTGGATAAATGAGTATCTCCTCTAAATGGAAAAATATTTTCTATGAAAATAAGTTTCGTCCCATCTGCCAAAGCTTGAAGAATTCTCGAAGGATCGGCATATTCAGGACCAATACGATGTCGTATTCCCGTAGATATTTCTCTTTCTCAAGAGTCAAAACAAGTAAGAACATCACCATGATTCCATATACTTCTTTTACAGATTTCAATCTAGAAAAAGAATTTTTATCTTATGCTTTTGTTGTATCAGGTCTTTTGGACATTTTTGCCCTAGCCTAAAGCTTAGGCCCGAACCAAAAAGGACGAGCCAAAGCCCAAGAGCCTTTTCCTTCTTGTTTAGACACATAACAAAGCAATTTTCAAACTAGTATCAAGTTTTTATCCAATCATCAAGAGCCACTTAGAGGTGAGCAGTTCCGGTTCCTTATAGGTTCTACCTGGAACCTAGAACCTACTATCGAGTACAAGTTCCTCATTTTTTGAAACCTGGAACCTACCCGTCGAAACTTGGAACCTGGAACCTATCCTGTCACAGGTTCCAAGATAAGTTCCAAAGTCTAATAGGTTCTTTTTTTATTTCATTTTTAATTAAACGAAACGAAAATGAATGCAACAATACTAAAGAAGCTTGTCATTTACCAAAGAGAATACAAAAACTAGTTTTCCTGGCATTATGGTTCAAATAAATACAATTAAAATGAGAAATCATTGCGTGAATCGATACTAGGGGTGAGTGGTTCCATGTTTCGTATAGGTTCCACCTGAAACCTACCCATAAAAATAGGTTCTTCATTTTTTGAAATTTGGAACCTACCTTATCAAAAGTTCCAGGTTGGTTCTAGGGTCTATTCAGGTTTCATCTGTATTATTAATTGAACAATTGCAATAAATCATCACTTTTAATGACCATCACTTGTTGTTATGATCTACTGACCACAACTTATATTTAGACATACGAAGAATATGAAACATTAACAAGTCATAAAATGAAAGCTCGGACTAGTGATTTCAGATTATACACTCATCATCTAATGCCATGAAACACCACATGATCATATAAAAATATAGACCAAGAAAAAACACAAAAAACTTACTTAGGTTTCAAGTTCCAGGTTCCAGATTCTAGATATGTGTACTTAGAACCTGGAACCTACCCGTTGAAATAGGTTTCCCAATTTTTAGAACCTGGAACCTACCCTGCATATCTTGAAACCTAGAACCTACAGGTTCCTATCGGTCAGGTTCTCAGGCTCCAGGGTAGAACCCGAAACCATGCTCACCCCTAAAGCCACTTCACATAAAAAGAGTGGAGAAAAAACTAACGCAGATAAAGATAAAACTTAATTATTAAAATACTTGTGATATCAATTATTCAACATAAGTTATTTATGATGTTGAAAATTATACATTAAAAGGCGAAAAAAAAAATTTCGAGTCAATTTATGAAGCTTAAAAGTATGTTTTGCTAATTGGGGAAAAATAGTGACAAATAGAGAAGTCGAAATCAATTACTAGATATGTTTGTTAAAATGCAATCTATCTATGATATCAACAGCAGATATAAAAATAGTTAAGTTCAGGAATATCAACACTGGTTCACTAGTTCAGCCATCATGGAAGCTACAGAAGTGTTGGAGAAGTTACTGAAGCAATTGTTGCTTCCCATCATGCTCCGTGACCCAGTTGTTAATTGGGTTTTATCTTACATTATTACTTTGAAATTTTGTGCTTGGTCCTATATCAACATTCTCTAATTTGGGTTATATAGATGCACCTAGAAAGTGGCCTTGGACCTCAAATTGATCATTGGAGGGATAAGGACACTAGGAGTGCCATAACTTTTATACGGCGCTCACTTGAGTGTCATAACTTTTTTTTGGCTCACTTGACTGCCACATCGGAGTAAAATAGATTATTTGAGTGCCACTTCCGGCGAAAATAGATCACTTGAGTGCCATTTCCAGCAAATGGATTGACATGAATTTTTTAATTAATTTTTCAATCTGACGTGGATTTTTTAATGTAATTTTATTTTATTTTATTCATTTTTTTAATTTTAATTTTTTTTCTTTTTTCAAGGTTGGCGAGGGTCATCGGTGACCCTTGCCGGCGGTCGCCTCACCTGTGGCCATGAAGACTCTCGCCAAATCCGGCAAGGTCGCCTCGCCCGCGACCGCGAACGCCCTTGGCGAGGCCATCATGGCCTCACTGGTGGCGGGCGCGGCGGCGAAGGCTCTCGCCAGATCCGGCGAGGCCGCCTTGCCCATGGCTGCGAAAACCCTTGGCAAGGCCATCGCGGCCTTGCTAGCGTGGACGAAGTGGCAAGGCCCTCGCCCGCAGCGGTGAAGGTTTTCACCAGATCTGGCGAGGCCGCCTCGCCCACGGTCGGCGAGACAGCCTTCGCGGCCTCGCCCAGGGCCTTCGTGGCCAAGGGCATGGCGGCCCTTTCCCAATCTGTGCGAGGCCTTCATAGCCGGAATTGAAAAAAAAAATTTGCAAAAATAAAAAAATAAAAAAAATTAATAATAAAAAAATTCAAAAAATCAAAAAAATATTAAAAAATTATCAACGTCAGCTCCGGCGAAGCCACATCAGATTTTC